TTGTACTTATTAGTCTGGAAGATGAGTGGATGGTGGGGTGGGTGCAGTTTTCTCTGTGACTGTCCCGGGCTCTGTGGGGCCGGGCGGCGCTGCTGCACTGGGCCCGGTCTGGATGGGCCTGGGCCCCCTTTCCCTGGCGGGTCGCGGAGTATGGGGGTGCCTACTGGGGTCAGCGGGGGAGCTGGCCCCAGGGAGGGGTCACTTGCCCCTCCCTTCCTTCCCTCCCCATCTCCAGCTGCCTCCCTCTTCCCGCTCCACCACAACCACCCACACATGCAGGGCCTTGGAGTAGGGGTATGTCACCAGGGTGCAGAGGAGGCTACCCCCCCCTCTGTCCCCTTCTGGCTGCCTCTGCCTCAATTTTATCCCACAACTTAGACATTCACATTACTCACACTCTCATTACACATACATATAGGATCTTGGGGGTGGGCACGATACACGGAGTCCAAAGTACCATCAGGGTGTACACCCCACCCCTGGCATCGTTGCCCACCTCTCAATTTTAAATACACGTAGACATTGAGGGCTAGCAGGAGGGACCATGCGCTTACCTGCTGCTCTCTGGCAGGTAGCTCCATGCCCTCCTGGGTTTTAAATGCACCTTAGAACACACATGCATCAACATTACAATGAGCGGGTGGAGGGAGGTTTGGAGTCTTCTCTCACCCCCGTTCTCTGCGACCTGCTGGAGCGGGGGGGCTAGGAGGAGGAGTTGGCCGTCCGACTGCGGTCTGGAGTGTGGAGCCTTCCTGCTGCTGCGGAGTCGGGGCGGTCTGCCTCCCCCCACCGCAGGGAAAAGGGAAACACCACCTGGGTCTGGGTGCAGTTCCCCCCTCCAGGGGCGGGGGCACCTAGACCCGGTTTGTAGAGTACGCTTGGGGAGTGTGATCGTGTGTACAGCGTCTCTTTATGTCTGTCTCCACGTTGGTTGAGTGTGGAGTAAGTGCATATGAGAGCATGAGGGTGGGAATGGATGTTTGTGTCTGTGTGTGCCTGTATGTCTGTGTCTATATGTCAGGTTGGGTGTCAGGCGCCACCTCTCTGGGGACATCTCAGGCCCTCCAAGGTTTGGAGGCCTATCTCCCCCTACCACCACTTCCCCTGCCAGTGGCGGACCCCCTCAGACATCGGTGCGTTGGTGGTTCTTTGTGTCCGGGGATGGGCGTCCAGGTACACACCGGCTCACTCCTTGGCGGCCGCTTATCGGGGCCTGGAGCCTGGGGCTCGCTCGGGCCACTTCGGAGGTGGGGTGCCCCCGGCCTCTCGGCCTGGGGCTCGGTCACTCAGGCGCAGCTGGCTGCCGGCGGAGCTCACGGGCGCGTCACTGCAACTCCCCCTGGCTTCTGCTCCGCGGCTGCTGAGTGAGCCCTCATCTGGGACTCTCCTCAGCTCTTTCTGGGACAGTGGCGCGGCTGCCCCTCTGTTGGTCTTCCTTGGTCTCTTGTGTTCTGGGGGCCTCTGGATGTCTGGAGTTTTGATCTCCTCCATACCTGCTTCATGCCCTGGAGGACGGGGCTGTGGCCCCCCCACACCCTCTAGCAGATCATTACATGAAGGAACCTTTTAAAAAAACAAAAAACAAGCGCGTCCATGCTCACAGGTGTACACACGGGTGATCACACCCACAAACTACACCCTTTTTGGCTCCTACCTCAAAGCACACTGTGTTCTGTTGATCTTATGTGCTGCACAATAATGTTTAATATTTAGTATTTACTGTCATATTCCCATATATCATTGTGATGTTGTTTATTCTATTACTCTTGTTCTCTTCTGCTTGCTTTCTTTTTTCTTTCTCAGCAGGTGATCCAGGTGATTGATATATGCATTTTTTTTTCCTCTGCCCGTTTTGTTGGTTTTTGTCTTTTGCCCTTCTCCCCCGTCCCTCTTCTCAGCTGTTTCTCTTTCCCTCTTTCTTTCTCCCCTTCTTTCCCCCAGTCAAGTCTGTCCCGTATTCAGTAAGTGAAAATAAAATAAACAATAAAAGGTGAATCAAATGGACCATTACGGCAAGGCTGGGATGGTCAATTTGGTAAAGTAAATCCGTTGGGCATCTTTCTTTGCCTTTAGACAACAATTCTGATGGCAAAAGAGCCAAACGGGACAGGCAAAAAAAAAAAAAAAAAAAAAAAAAAAAAAAAAAACATATACAGAAAATATAATGCAGGGTGTTGTTAACAGAGATATATGCCAATTCTAATTTGGTGATTGGCATATAAACATCTGGAAGTTGTTTGGACTCTTTCAAGGTCCAGAATATTCTAGTCATGATGCTTGGAGTTACACTTCTAAACAAACCATGGATCCTCCTCAAGGACTGGTTGAGCCCTCAAGGATCCCACTAACCTCAATAGCCCATTCATCCTCGCCGCATTGGTTGCTTCATGCGTCAATGTGACAGCATCACACAGCCACTTTCTTTTGTCCATTTGTAATCTTTTGCAGAACTTATGTGGAAATCTCCGTGAGTTTTGTGCTAACTGAGAAGGCCTGTACAGGTGGACTTGCTCACATAGTCTTGCTTCAGGCTGGTCTAATTTGAAAAAGCTGTGACGAAGGTGGCAAACATGCCAGGTTGGAAACCGTTCGTGAGGGTGAGAAAGGTGAGCATAAATGAGCCTTGGGAGTCTTAAGGCTGAATTTTCTCAGAAACAGAAACAAATGTGGAAAAAGTCTAAACACACTCACTGGTAAACTGGCCGGTCAAGGCAGTAAAAATCTTACTCAAATTCGACATAAGATGACCTCAAAAAGTACTCTGAAGGACCTCTAAGTTCTTTCTTCTTGAACTTTTACATGTAAAAGTTCTCAAGCTATCACTACAAGCTCTTAAAGATCTCTAAACATTCAACCATACTTTAATAATAAAGTAAATTAACCACTAAAAACAACAGGAAAGCCTGCTCTCTGATTGGCTGACAAGTGAATCAGATATTGTAGTTTTTACAATACCTGATTCACTTGTTTGTGTACACCAGAGCTCACAATGTGTGATCACAACGTGTGGTTATCAGGTAATTATAACAAATGCTGCTTCAGTAACCGGTATAAGTAACCAAAAACTGGTATTAATCTCTCTGGTGCTGTAATTAAAGTGCATGTTTCTTTACCTGCATCAGGTACATCCTCTACTGAAGTAGGAGGGGCTTCATCCTGCACAGGTGTGTCTGGTTCCTCCTCTGACAGAGACTCCACCAGCTCTCCACCGATGTGAATGTCCACCTACCAGGACATCAAAACTTACAGATGTAACGACTCTATAGACCCAGTCTTTTTTAATATATTGTGGCTTTATTAAAAAACATTTATTATGTATTTAAATATTAGTAAAACCAGTTACAGTATTACCTTTTATCTTTATATAACTGTACTTGACATAATATCAATATATACAGTTTTAAAGGTATTTATCTTTATAGTCACTTTATATAAAGGTTTTGTAATGTTAAAGCTTTATAACACATCCAGTTTACAGCTTTTGTGAAACAGCTTCATATACATTAACTTTAGTATGTGTAGGGCTGTGCGATATGACCAAAATCTCATATCCCGATATAAGACATCTATCGTCCGATAACGATATAAATCACAAAAATGTAACATTTTCTGTAAATTCTGTGAATCTCGGGCAGCTCGACTTGCGTGAAGTGTTTCCAGCTGCGCGTCATGTAGCTGGAGTCGAGTGTTTTAACCGATGCATGAAACGATACATTTTTAGACATAAGTTGTAACGGCCGCCGTTTTCTTTGTGAGTATTTATTACACGGCGTGCTGCGGGGAAAAGCCTGTTCTAACGTTTGAGTCTAAGGTTTATTTTTTAGCACCTGGCGGCTCTTTTTATTCTCATCCGTAAATAATCTGCTCTTTCACGTGATTCAGTTTATTTTGAAAAGTCTCAACAGGATCTTGAGCTTTATTGTGAAAGGTTTATGTGGAACAAGCGGACACGCGGTGGTTTTACCATCGTTGTTGCTAACAACAACGCATAAAAACAGGTGCTTGTCTGTCTGTAGTGTGGTTATATAGAAAGAGAGAACTTTAAGAAAGTAATATAGCCACTACAGTGACCATCAGAACGATGAAAAAATATTGCCGTAAACAGTTTATCTTGCGACACCACGAAACAAATGATAGCGTAAAATGAAACGATAGACGTTTTTATATCGTCATCCGATATATATCGTTATATTAAACAGCCCTAGGATATGCATCTCTTATATAAAGTCTTTACATTCTTCATATTTTATATTCGACAGACTAAACCTGAACATTATTTCCAGATAATGAGGCTTCTCTTTTAGCTTTGAGTCATCAAGTTACTCCTTAAAATAACATCATCCTTTTATTTTTATGATCACACTCACCTTCAGCTGAGATTTGGGATGCAAGAAGAAAAATGGCTTTAGGACAGGAGACCTGGAAGCCACAAAAATGGAATAAACAACAGGAAACCTCACGTGACAAGAGATGGTGTATGGGGACGGTGTATTTTCTCCACATGTAGGTAAAAAAGAAAAAGAAAAAAGAAAATAAAAAGCAGAAATTGGAAAAACATTTTTTAAACTCACACTCTGGGTCGTCCGCCCACAATGCCGGTGAGTCCGGGAGCTATGAATGTGAAAAAATGAGAGAAAAAGAAATGAAAAGCTGACAGTTTTAAGGAAAGTTGTAGCAGGTGCAGCGCCTCCTTCCTGTCCTAATTCGAGTTCAGCAACACTGACAGTGTGAATCATCAGCTTCCCGGGAGTCACACAGAGTTCACACTGAACTGGACCTGCCACCATAAACAAAAACATCTTCTGCTTCATGAGGTCACGACCCTCCTTATCTGCAGGCGGGAGACTCCCGCTTCACAGTGGAAGGCACATCCGTATATGTGCCTTCCATCACAGCACAGAGCTCAGCTGTGTGAGTCCAGCTAATGTAATAACACACGCATTACAACATTAAACAAGCACATGAAGCATGACGGTTTAAGGGAATGTGGTTCACATGCTCAGAATATTAACGATTCAGATTCAGCACACTTACATAATTTTCCCTGAAAGCTGAAAACTGTGCTGAGACTGCTGTTCAGTGGTTGGTTGTTATTATTGATAAGTGGATGTACTCTGACATACCTACATAATTCATTTGTTCAATTTCCTTCTGTTTAATAGCCTGTTTCTCACCTCAGGTTTTTGCTCCATGTGTTCTCTTAGGATCATTTATCATTTCAAATATTTTTCAGATAAACCCTTCTGACCGTGCCAACGTGAAATCCTGGACTTTCCTCTGATTTATGGGTGGATTTATGCTTTTCTTTGACTCAGTTTTGGACTGTTTTTAACTTTCTTTTCATAAAATGAGAATTCAATACCTGGTGTATTTCCTACTCATTGTGACTAATTTGTCATATGTCATATGTAATGTCATATGAACCCTCGCCTTCAAAATAAAGTGCTTTGCTGAAGCAACCAACATTATTTAAAAGGTTTTATTTCAAAGCTGCATAATTACCATTTCCAGTTTATGTCACACCTTCCCAAGTACTGTTCCTGCTTAGCGAGTAGGTGGTGAGCGTTTGCTCATATGAAAATATGAACAACCGCAGCAATTTCCTGCAGAGCAAAGCAATCACAAGTGAAGCACCTTCTTTGCACCTGCCAGCAAACTCCATTAACCAACTGGTCTGTGTATCAGTTTTACTGGACAACAGTCTGTTGGTTGTCATAGTTTTCAACAAGTCTCACACATATACACGTCTCATGAGCGATCCCACTCCACTATTCTTCAGCAAACCTCTCAAGCTTGATGGCCTTCTGACCGACAGATTTTCAGTGAGATTGAAGACAGGGCTCTGTGGAGGTCAGTCAGAAACGTCCAGTTTGGTCTTCTGGAGTTAAGCCATTTACCAGGAGAAGCAAATGTTTTGGGTCACTGGCGTGTTAGAAGACAGATCAACAACCCACACTTTCAAAATCTTCACATAGACTTTTATCTTCGTGGTTCCTTCCAGCTTGACACAATGAAGCATCCTTACGACATAATAATACTTGTGTTACTGCGCTTCACTGTACTTTGGGTTGCACGCCTCTTCCTTCTTTCTCCAAACATAAGGAGCACCAGGTTAGTCTCATATGACCAGTTTATGCTCTTCCAGCAAGCCTAATGTTTCTCCAGGTTGTCTTTTTTTCTTCTCACTGGCCATTCCTGTGCTGAGTTCAAGTGACTGTCATCTTTACTACAGTTGCAGACGTGGTTCTGTGTTCTGGGGTCTTTAGACAGTTTTCAGTTTTCTTTTCAGAGTCTTTCAAATCTTTTGCTTCCAACCTCTGCTAAGCTTGTTATGAGCGGTGTAGCTCTCACGCCAGTTCTTGAACACGTTGTACATCCATCTCCTGCTTTATGAGCATCAACAATTCTTTTGGTCAAGTCTGGATTCATTTCTTTTATTTTAGGTTTTACTAATGTTTTCAACCCTCAGTTTTAACTAGAGATGGCACGATACCACTTTTTTATGTCCGATACCGATATCATAAATTTGGATATCTGCTGATACCGATATGAATCCGATAGTTCATCTTGTAATCAACAAAACTGTTTTCTTTTATATCTTTCTGCATTTTGTATAGGTTCATACTCAAGTTTAAAAAACAAAACAAAACACTAAAGCTATTCTGTTATACCTGTATGCAAAAAATACACTGCACCCAAAATATTTCATAGTTCAGCAACACTGATCTATGTAATAAACCTAAACCTACACCATCCTCCATATTCTGGTATTTTAAAAAGTACTTAGTGGAAATATTAAACAACCTAACTAATAGGGTGCCCAACTCCAGCAAAAATAATAGGGAACCACCCCTCACGCTCCACCTCATGATGCTTAATCGACGTAATCAACTTTAATTTGATGCAGTGTGAAAAAAAAGCACAGAAATCAATTATTTTTCAAGAATAATTAAATAGATTCAACATCTTTCTTCAACAGAACTGCAGACTGCACAGATGGTACCTTCCCAAAGGAAAAAGTACTATAGCTTACTAGGGTATATTAGACTTAACAGTTACTATATACAGTAATGGACTTCTATACATTTTACATCAGATTAAAACTTTGGGTGTAAGATTCAGATAATTATTTATTAAAAGCTAGACATTTTAAATGAGAATAAGAAAGAAAAGTATGTCTTTGTGCCCCCTTTTCCCTGTTCATGCCCTATCGGCCCCCCTGGCTAAACTTTGCTAGATCCGCCCCTGCACAGTTACCAGCCGTCAGCTACGTAGAAAAAGATCCTCGAGTAGAAAGTAATATTAAATAAATTCTAACAACAGCTTATCAAGCTTAAACGTGCTGCTGTTGTTCAGCCGCTGGTTTCCTCTTTCTGGCACAAAGTGGGCCAAAAACAAACTAGAGAGACGGAGTCGCGACAGAAAAGCCGATCAGCTGATCACTGATCAGTTTCATGACTGAAGTAGCAGCAAGAAGAGGCAGTCGCTCCATATATCGGTTGTTAAGCTTAACGCAGGAATGCTTTACAAACATTCAGAGATGAACTTACACACTTGCTTTACTTCTCTCTGGGATAACTTTCTCAGAGATGAAATGCTGGTTTGGTAGCCAGGCTCCAAATACACACAGCCGCTCTATCACGTGATACTGCTCCGACGTGCTACGGTTATGAGCTGAGTTACGCCGTGTAGCAAGTTTTGTGAGGTGCTTTTGTGATACTTAATGGATCGGATTAAAATTTTTATTTCTCTCCGATATCCGAGCCAGTAATTTAGTTCAGTATCGGACCGATACCGATACATAATATCGGATTGGTCCATCTCTAGTTTTAACTTTATTTAAAAAGCTCTGAGAATTACAAAGTTAAAGCAAAGTCTTGCACAGCAGTGGCAACAAAAAGTTTGTTTTTTCAGAGCCTTAAAACATAGAAACTGTTTATGCTTTCTAAAGAAAAACAGCATATTTAAAAATGTTATATTGAAAACACTTCTGAGATTTTCAATAGCTGCACCAGTGGCATCAATTTTAAGCTCCTACATCACATGGTTCTCGAGTTATCGCATCAGGCCTTTACAGCTGAGGGGTAGGATGCATATGGGAGAACTTTGATGAAAGATAATCATGTTGTCCTTATGTAAGCAGCTGCTGCTACATGCTCAGATCAATTAACATAAGTTTCTAACGATACGATCTCTATATTTTCTATGGTAAGACGTAATAAGGTCAGTAAGACAAGCAAAGAAGTGTATCCCAGTTTTCTCAGGCCGCACTAACAGCGAGAAAGAATACGGACTGTGTTTGAATTTGTAATTAAATATTTTACTAACAGTGGTAATCTTATCCATTAAACAAGCCTCCAGTGTGGATGCATTATTCACTACTGTATAGACAACTCTGTTCTCCTTCTAATAACCATGAAAAGACACTTATATAAGCAGCTGCTACCACATCCAGATGTCCTCAGATCTCATCGTAAAGGTCTTTGCGTACTATGAACAAGTTTAGAGAGTTTAAAGAGGAGATAACGGGGTTAGTCGTACCCATGCCGGTCCCCGCAGGAGCCACTTCTCTGGAGAAATGCTCCAGAGCTTTCTTCTGTTTGTGGTGGACGGCCAACCAGATCACAGCCTCCCGGGAGTCCTGGAAAAAGACAAGAAACGTAAATTTAATGATCAATGGAGATAGTCTAAGAGGTGAAAGTGGTGAAAGGAGTCAAAATAAGAGGCATGAAACAGGCTTTACTGCGACCCTTCACCTACTTGTGGTAAAGGAGATGTGAAGGTTGGATGTAGAACAGCGGGATTGTGTCAAGATGAAGCGGGTGATAGAAGGGGGCATTTAGAGACTTGAAACAAGCTTAACTGCAACCCTTAACCCTTAGGAAGGGAAAGGATGCAGAGAAACAAAAGAAGGAAAACTAAGATGAAGTAAATCCATTGATCAGTAAACACTAAAAAAAAAAAAAATCAGGGGGGTTGTACCAAAAGAAACAGAGAAGACGTCCAGCAGCTTGTTCAGCTTCTGTTCTTATGTGAGATCTTAACGGAGGCACGCAGGTCTGCCGAGGCTCCTGGATCTGAGCCCACTCTGAGCCATGTACACTACAACTCTGAGGGGTTTCTGTTCTCATGTCTGCCATGACGTTTTTTCCTCCAGCAACTCCAGTTTCTACTGCTTTGTATAAAATACAAGGTTCCTGTTTCCTGCAGAGAATCTTCATCTTATTATTCAATTTTATGAAAACATAAAAGTCAGCTGACAGGGCAGAGCTTTGAATATAAAGCAAGGACACAGCCACACTAAGTGTTTTTATATTCTATGTAATTTTTTTCCTGTTATGTCTTATTAAGTCTATGTTTTATTTATCTAAAACAGTGGTCCCCAACGCCCGCGCCCGGTCTGTGAGTCGTTTGGTACCAGGCCGCGAGAGTTCAGGCTCGGGTGTGAAATTTATGGTTTTCCGGGTTTTTATCGGTTTTCATTGTTATTTTTTATCGTTTCTATCGTTAACTCAGTTTCCCTGAGTCTTTTCCTGTATTTTATGAATTAATCTTCTTTTTTTGGTACCAGTACTGGTTTTATTTTGTTGTATTTATTGGCGACGTCTTAAAGGCCGGGCCGTGAAAATATTGTAGAAGGTAAACTGGTCCGGGGCGCAAAAAAGGTTTGGGACGGCTGATCTAAGATATTATCATTTCATTTTTAAAATATTTTTTAAAAAATGTGTCAAGCTAACATGAGAGTAATGGAGACTGACCTGCTGTTGGAGCCTCAAGTGGACATTAGAGGAACTGCAGCTTTTTTAGTCTGTTACCTTATAGCGAGCATTGGCACCGTATGTGTCTTCAGCTCCAAGGACCTGGATGTATAACCGAGCTGAAATCTTCCAGTCCCAACTTGTTTTAAAACATTCTTCTTTGTCCTAACCACACAACATATCACACACACACACACACACACACACACACACACACACACACACACACACACACACACACAGCAGTAATGTTAATACACAGTTCAGAGTACATGAGCTGTGATTCTTGTTCCCACCGTTTGATGATGCTCTCTGCCGTTCTTCTGGCCTTCTTCGCTGCTCTCGGCCCGGTGACCGGACACACGGCGGTCGCCCTGAACCCGTCCATGTAAGTCGCACAAACCTGTAAGGAGGATGGTGAAGGTGACAGGACCCAAACTCTAAATTACAGTAAAATATTATTTAAAAAGTTGACCTGTGTGGCACTCGATATTCCACATTATCGACATATTATATCAAAATAAGAATCAAATACAGTTTTTTTAACCTTGTAGTCATGTGATGGGGCGAAGCCCTGCGCCCCAGTTACTCTGACAGCTCCCCCCTCATCACCTGAAAACACAAACAAAAACAACTTCACAACATCAAAATGTCATGTGTTAATAAAACAATGTAATGTAATTACTTTAATGGTATTAAAGTTGATTGGAAAATTGGAAAAATTGAAGAAATTAATTATTTAATTTTTACATATCTAAGAAAAACATACATTTACAAACATTTCTTAATTAAAAATTCTTTTTGTTTCAGATTGTTCTTGCTTTTATCATTTTAATTTATTGTATTTTTGTTTAAAATATTTATTGCATATTTTTCATTTTATTGCATTATATTAAATTTTATCCATCCATCCATTCACTTCCGCTTATCCTTTTCAGGGTCGCGGGGGGCGCTGGAGCCTATCCCAGCTGTCATAGGGCAGAGGCGAGGGTACACCCTGGACAGGTCGCCAGTCTGTCGCAGGGCCAACACACAGGGACAGACAACCATTCGCACTCTCATTCACTCGCACATTCACACCTAGTGGCAATTTGGATTATCCAATTAACCTATCCCCACAAGCTGCATGTCTTTGGACGGTGGGAGGAAGCCGGAGTACCCGGAGAACCCACGCAAACACGGGGAGAACATGCAAACTCCACACAGAAAGACCCCGGCCTGATGGTGGAATTGAACTCAGGACCTTCTTGCTGTGCGGCAACAGTGCTAACCACCGTGCCACCGTGCTGCCCTAATTTTTTCAATTCTTTATTTCAATTTAGTCTCTCC